GAGGAAGGTTTTCGGAAGGTTTTTTGGAAGGTTCCAGGAATCCTGAAACCTCCCTCCCTGTGGAAGGTGTTAGGAAGGTTGTTTGGAAGGTTCCAGGAATTCTGGAACCTCCCTGCTGAAGGCTTTTTGGGAGGTTCCAGGAGGGTTTTGTTCAAAAAAACATCTAAAAACCGTTCAAAAACTTTCCAACGACCTTCCAAAAACCGCCCTCAAACCTTCCCCCTCCCAAAACAAGAAAACTCCGAAAACCTCCCTACAACCTTCCAGCATTTAGCGAAACCGCCCAATGCGTTCCAAAAACCTCCCCCCCCACCCCCCCACCCCGAAAAACCTCCCCGAAAACCTTCAAAACAAACCTTTCACGAACCTTCCCAAAAACCTTCCAACAACCTTCCAACAAACCTTCCAAACACATTCCAAATACCTGCACAAAAAAAAAACCTTACAAACACCTTCCGACAGCCTTCCTCAGGAAGGTTCCAGGAGGGGCTGGCCCAAAAACCTCCCAAGAACATTCCGGAGGAAGGATTTTTTTGTTGGTTTTGGGGGGGATCGAAAACCTTCCAAAAACCTTCCCGAGGAAGGTTTTCGGAAAGTTGTTTGGAAGGTTCTAGGAATCCTAAAACCTTCCTGAGGAAGGTTTTAGGAAGGTTTTTTGGAAGTTCCAAGGAATCCTGGAACCTTCCTGAGGAAGGTTTTAGGAAGGTTTCAGGAAGGTTGTTCCACAAACCTTCCAAAAACCTTCCAACAACTTTCCAACAACCTTCCAAAAACCTTTCTAAAACCTTCCAGCAAAAACCTTCCAAAAACCTTCCTAAAACCTTCCTGAACCTTCCTGAATTTAGCGACACCGCCCAATCCAATACATTCCAAAAACCTCCCAAAAACCTTCCAACAAAACCTTCCGAAACAAACCTTCCAACCACCTTCCAACAACCTTCCGACAAAAAAAACTCCCGAAAACCTTCCAACAACCTTCCAGACAAACCTTCCAAAAACCTTCCTAAACCTTCCTAAACCTTCCTCAGGAAGGTTCCAGGAGGGGTTGGCCCAAAAACATTCCAAAAACCTTCCTGAGGAAGGGGCCACTTCGACGCCTGGCGGTTTTCGAGCCATGACTCGGGCTCCCGGCGGCCGTTCGGGACGATCCGGGCATCCCAGAACGCTCTCGGCGAGGCGCAGCCGCTGGAAGGCCCTCCGAGGCTGGAAAACCCCAGAGTTACGACGAAAGCGTTCGAAAACCTCGAACCTCGGATCCCCTGAGCCTATCCTCCACGTAACGCTGCCTCTGAAAATCCCGAGACTTTGCGTTCTTCTCGCGTGCTCGAACACACACACACACACACACACACAAACACACACACACACACAGAGGCGTCAACCCACGCGGGCCCGGCCTGGGCAGGGCCTCTCAGCTTGGAGGCGGCCGAGGGGATCTGAGCTTGACGAGCCCCGAGAACATCGGCCAAGGAGGGGGGGGGGGCGGCGAGCGCAAGTTCACGCACGACGAGCCCGCACACCCAGGGTCCCAGGGTCGAGGCTGGCCAGCTCCGCAGGGCGCGCCCCGCCGCGGCGGCGAGGGAGGCCCTCGCCCTCCTGAAGCCGGGAAGTGGGCCTGGCACACGGGGGTGCGGCGCCAGTCGTGGAAGTGGAGGCGTCATCCGCGATGCTCCAGATTTCGTAATAAGGGGAGGGGGGTCTCATTTCGGGGGGGGGGTCTCTTCCAGGCTATCTTGGAGGGCCTGGGGGGGTCTGGGGACGATGTTTTGGAGGGTTCTCCCACGGGGGGGGTCGAAAACTTTTCGTCCGGGAGGGTTGAGACCTCCTCCCTTTTCTTACGACATCTGGAGTAGCTAGCATCGCCAGGTTCAGCATCGGCACCACACCCCCTATCTGCCGCACCCCCTTTTCCGACCCTCAGACTCCTCTCCTGCGGGCAGGGACCTGTGGTGACCCACCTCAGCGCCCCGGCCCGCTCCAGCTCGCAGCCGCACCGCCCCCACCCGCAGGAGGTGCCCCACCAATCGGCAGTGGACAAACCTCCCTGTAGCAAACCCCCCCTTAGTGAAAACGGCCTGGGACCGAAACCGACGGACCTGGACCGAAACCGCCGGACCTGGACCCGCAGCAATGACGACCAATCCCTTGATCGACGCGTCAGGGCAGGAGGTCTAGCCACCTCCGAACCAGGCCCGCCCCGAGGCCGCTCTCTGGAGGCGGCCGAGCCTACCACGCCGAGGGGAGCCCAGGACTCGCCCGTGCTCGGCCGCAGTGCGTTCGCGCTTCGCGCAGCGAAAAGCTTTTTTTGCCGCGACCGTATGCGAGAGCGCCAACGGCGAGTAGGGTACCAGCGGGCCTCGCACGAGCCGAATTGCCTAACGCCGACGAGCCGGCGACCTGAGCAGCACCTGGGCGGGCAGGCCAGCGTGAGGGGGGCCGCAGCTGCCAGGAACCAGGCCCAGGAGCGAACACGTGCACGCTGAACCAGCCAGGGCTGGAGCACGCGCAGCGAAGAGCGCGAAGCGCGAAGAAACACACCGTTTCACTCGAACCACGCGCGCTTCGCGCGCGCGCGCTTCGGTTCCAGCAGGCGCCCACCCTCGACAACGACGCCACTCTGCATGGGCACGACTGCCGGCACGGCTTGCGCACGGCACGGCTTGCGCGGGCGCCCAGGAGCAGAGTGGGTCACCGAGGGAGGGGGAGTTTGGGAAAGGAGGCCGCCCCCGGGGCCCAAGGACCTGGTCGCTGGATACGTTGTACATGATTCGTGATGACGCCCGTGATCAGGCCTGCCCCCACCCCGCCCCTGGTGACGCGAGTTATCGCTGGGGGGTAGTTAAACAACGATCTCAAGCGAGAATGATTCGCGCTCTCGCGCCGCAACCTCTGGGGGATAAGAAGAGGACGAGGAGGGCGAGGATGAGGAATCGCGAGTCGCGAGGCGCGAACAGCGAATCACTCCGCGCACTCGTGGTGGCCCTCGACTCTCCGAAGTCCAAGGGAAGAACAAGATGCAGAAGCACGTGAAAAGTCAGGTGCTCCGCACAGATTTCTCGGGTCGGCACTGGACACCCCCTGGCAGCGCTGGACGCAGGGCCCGGCGCTGACCCGAGTGCTCGAGGGTATGCGGCCTCGACGAGCGTGTTGCCGAAGTCTGGGGCCTGCCTGGGGGGGGGCCCCTCGCTCGAAGAAGACTGAACTGCACACACCTAAACTGTCGGAGCTCCGCACCACAAATTTTGTTGGCATGCTGTTCTTTGTTGCTTTGCGACTCTCCCGGATGGCCACACGACTCGGCAAAGGCCCAACGTGCTACTAGAAGTAGCGCTGAATAAAGAACGAAGCCCCCTCTTGGCCCCAGAAAGCGCCCAAGTGCACGAGGAGGAGCGCTAGAACAACAACCATGTAGGGACCCATTTCGCGAACGAACTGATCAGCATTTCAGGTTCACTGGCAAGCCCCAACAGGGCCGAGGACGCTCTGGAACCCCGTTACACATAGAAAAAGGGCAGGAGATGACTTCCAGAAGCTCGAAAGATGTCCTCTGGGCCGCGCTGGGCTGCCTCCAAGTGGTTAAAGACTGCCGGTATCCAGAACCCCAGAGGGCAGGATCAGCCAACATCGAAAAGGGAAATCGAATCGAATCGGAGTCTGCGTCGGATCGGCTGCATCGGCACGGAATCGAGATCGAACCGAATAAACGTCTGGCCGGAATCGATATCGGACCGGAAGAATCGTACCGAAAAAAACTGGAGGGGCTCAAATCCCCACACCTTGATCGCCCCGTGTTCATGACAACGTTCGAGACTGACCAAGACTAGATAAACCACGCCGTCAAGGCACCCAGCGACAACCGCCGAGCGGGCCATCACTCCGCCAGGTGGCCACACGACCCCAAGCTGAACGCGCCCAGCGCTTCCAACAAGTCTCCAAACAAGGAACAGAGGTGGTGACACCACCACCACCACCACCACCACCACGATCGCGAGGCGCCAGAGAGTCCTCCTCCTCCTCCTCCTCCTCCTCCTCCTCCTCCTCCCTCCCTCCTCCTCCTCCTCCTCCTCCTCCTCCTCCTGCTCCTCCTCCTCCTCCTGCTCCTCCTCCTCCTCACTTCCTCCTCCTCCTGATCCTCCTCCTCCTCCTCACTCCTCCCTCCTCCCTCCTCCCTCCTCCCTCCTCCTCCTCCCTCTTCCTCCTCCCTCCTCCTCCTCCTCCCTCCTCCTCCTCCTCCTCCTCTTCCTCCTCCTCCTCCTCCTCCTCCTCCTCCTCCTCCAGCTCCTCCTCCACCTCCTCCTTCACCGCGAGGCGTCAGGGAGGGCCCCCCCTCCCGCTCGAGACATCCCCCATCTACAGCTCAGGGAGGCATCGTGGGCCCCCTCGCTACAGGTGGCCCCCTGGGAGAAGTTGGGACGCACGTCCTCGGAGGCCTTCGCGGGAAGGAGTTAGCGCTACATCGAGGGGCAACTTAGCGAATTCAGCCTGGAGTAAGCCCAGCAAACCAGGATTAAGGCGGATTGAGCTGGACCAAGCGGGACTCACCCGGATCAGGACAGCCTGTAACATCAGATATACCAGGCCCGATACTGAAGAAACGCCCTGGCGTTGCAGCCAATAAGAGGCCCCCAACAAGTCCCTGATCTGCGCACGCGACTCAAGCTTCCCAGCCGATCGCGGCGGTAGCGTTGCCAATCTTCGGAAAATGAGCGCAAACTGGTGGTAAGGCTTCGGGCTGCGCACAGACAGCCCCCAAGCAGCCCCCGCTGGCCTCAACAGGCCCCCCGAGTAGTCCGGGGCGGGCTCAACACTCCAACGCTGGGGCAAGGAGCGCCCCAAGGGCGCCGCCAGGGCGCTCCTTGCCCCAGGGTTTGGGGGGTGAGACCGCCTCGGACTACGTACTCGGGTGGCATGTTGAGGCCAGCCGGACTACGGGAGGGGGCTGTACCTCATGCCGCATGCCTTACCAGCGCAAACGCCCGCTCCTCTTTGCCAAACGCCAGTTATACCGTGACCTCGGGAGCCCGGCAGCAGAGAAAGGAGTCGCCGCACCCCCGTCCTGGACGGCGCTCATTGACAACATTCTCCACCCTCTGTGCGTGGCCGACCGTGAGGTCGTCGTCGTCGGCGTCCTTGCCCCTCCCGGCCCAGGGCAGCCGCGGCGCGTTGGCCTCCTCGAATTCGTCCAAGACGGTCAGCGATGGGATGACCTCGGGTGAACCAAGAGATACACCGATACCGCTTCTCCTTGGAGCTCTCCTGGGGTGCGTTTTGCCTTGGATTCGGGGGCGAATCCAGCCGTGGCGACGAGGGCTCCCCACTGGTAGATGTCAGCGCTCTCGCGCCACATCTAAGACTACAATTAAACTCGAACGGCCTTCAAGTGGAGCTGCACGCGCCCAACTAGTGCTGTAAACGCTCACGCGAAGCTGTAGTCCTACACGCGGGGTAGATTACTTGGCTGGCGGCCCAAATCAGTCAGCACCCATGTGGGGCTACATCGATTCTTCAAGCGTATATATCTATATATATATATATATGTACAATGCATCCCGCCGCGGGGTATAGTACCTGGCTTATGAAACGTATTACTTGAACCATCTACCTTATGCAAGGTGTATAACGCACGGGCCCCGGGGAAAACATGCATTCATCTCTGAAGTTCCCCCTCCTCTCCCTCCCATCTTTCGTTCTCGCTCTCACCCTTCCCTCTGTCTCGCTCTCTCTCTCTCTCTCTCTCTCTCTCTCTCTCTCTCTCTCTCTCTCTCTACATATAGTATCTCTCTCTCTGTCTCTCTCTCTCTCACTCTCTCTCTCTCTCTCTGTATCTTAATCGGCTTCGCGTTCGCGTATGCGTGTGTGTATATATATGTATATAACCCTCGTAAGCATATTTATACATACAAGCACGCATGCATGTACCTCATGCGCGCGAACATGCACTCACGCACGCGATGCCATATACACATGCGTCCGTATACATGTGTACGCACGTGCGCTCACACACGCGCATGCGGAGGTATATGGAGGGAGGGAGGGACGGAGTTCTTGAGGGGGCTTTCTGTTTCAGCGGAAGTGCCGCTTCAGCGAAAGTGCCGCTGCTGCTGCCACCAAGGGGGCAACAACGAAACTTCTTCAACAGAGCACAACGTAGATGATTCCTTCAACGTGCCACGCGTGGGCTGCATGGACGTTGTTCAAAGGCCATCAGCTCGTCGGATACACAGAAACATCTGCTTGAACGAGTTCGCCTGTCAGACCACGCACACGGCGCTGCGCTCACAAACGCAAGCCAAACTCACGCCAACACCGTCACCGACCAAGACCACGTCGTGAACGCGCAGTTGGCGACCATATATCACGATGCCGTGGCCCAACTGCACATCCGGATAGCCTGGCAAATGTTTGATGTGTCCGCACAAGCCGTCGCGAAGGCTGGATGCACCATCGACCAGATCATTACGATGCCTCGACAACGAATTTGAGCGCACCGAGCATTCGTACCGCTCTGCATTTCTGACGCTGTTCCCAGCGGCTGTCTTCGCGCGTGCAGTCAAACGCTCGATCATGCACATGTCGACTAAAAGCTTGCCCTTCCGCATTTGATCTATAATGCGCTGCGTGGCATGACCTTTTGAAATCAAATATATTGGCCCATGCGCTGCAGCGCACTTGCCCATCGACGAGCACAGGGCCGCGCCGAGCTCACCTCGGCCTCGAGAGTGAGATCCCAGACGGCGCGCGCGGCGCCGAAGGACTCGTTCCTCGGCAAGGCCAGGCGTTCTGGGCAAGTGGTATTCGACAAAATGTCGCGTCGTAGCACATACATATATACGCGCATAATCCCCAGCCTTGCACCTGATCTTTGATTCCTCCTCGGACGCGGGCGCGAACGAGTCGTGCGCTTGGGGGACTTCGAAGCCCGCGCGCATGGGGAATCCCCCGACCGCCTTCACCAACTCGCCCCATAACGAAAACTGCATGTCCAACGCGGTCTCGCACGCCCTCACGCAGGCAGCGCACTCCCAAGAAAATGCGCCGCGTTGTAAATAATGGCGCGCCCAATGAATGCGGAACGCGTCAGTTGCGCAGAGGACTCGGCAAAAACCCGCATCTGCTAAAAGCCCCAGCGGGTTCGCTTTCTCCATGGCCACCGAAATGCCCATTGATTGCCCCGGCATCCAGTCGCCTCTCCCCAGCCAAAACAACAGCCACGCGTCCAACCATATCTTCGCGATCGCGCGGCTGAAACTTCGAGAAATCAGAACGCGATATACCACGGCACCCTGCAAGTAGATGGGATTCCCCAACCGCCAACTGCCGCGAAGGAAGCGCGGCGCGTGGGGGGGCGCGCCAGCCCAGTCGAATGACATTCTGCGGCCATCCAGGTCTGTTAAAACAGCTGTGACATTCGCAAACGCGAGGCGCGTTTGGCCACGCGCGTTCAGCGATGCGCCAGCGCACCTGAAGGGCGCGGGGCCAAGTCGCACTTCGCGCAGGAGCAACGCGAACATTCAGAGCCACCGACCCTCGACCTTGTGAGCGATGTAGCCTCACGCCACGGCGAATGTCATCCAGGTCGGCTCGCGCCTCGTCGCCGTTCTTCCAGGCTCTAAAAAATTGGAAGAACATACCATCGCTTTCTTGTGTGGTTCGGCATTTTTTTTCGCCGGCTGCGCGCTCGCCTAGACCGACCATGGCGCGCCATGGCCCGTCGACCGAGCGCGGGCGCTTCGATGGGGGCTTCCGAAAAGCGCGCCTGCAAATCCTGCGACGCAGCGACCATCTCTTGGAAGACGGGCGCGAGCTGGCAGATCCCCCATCGGAACGGGGCGCCGTTCCCCGACGGCAGATCGACCCCCAACTTCGCCAGTTAAACAAGGCGCGGGGCCCAGGCCGCGCACCCCGTGACACACGAGCGGGCTCGCCGCCAAGTGCTGCAGCAATTCGAGCTAACCCGCCCACTAAAATTCCACCCGCGCGAAGCGCCGACCGCGCACTCATGCGCTTCTGCGCTGGACCTTGGGCCATAGAGCGGGAATGCCGCCGCGACGGAACAAGGGGGGGGCGGGGGCGGCGCCCGCACGAGATCGCGTCGGCCACGCGGGCGGAAACGGCCCAGCGGTCTTCCGGGGAAAAAAACAACAATTAGTTGTTCCCATCGGCGCTCTGGCCGCCCCACCCCGTTCAGGCCGCCTCTTGAAGGCAGTCTCGGGGCCGACTTGGGCCCCCGAGCCCAGTTGGGCGCCCCCCCGGAATGGCCTCGCGCATGTTGAGACACGGCGCCCGAGGCCCCCCTAGCGCCCCGAGACCATCGCGCCCTGACGCCCTGAGATCATCAAACCCATGCCTTCTCAGGCCCTAACGCCCTAGAGCCACGTCGCCGAAGGCCGCGAGGCCACGGGGCCCCAGCGCTTCCACGGCGCCCCACCGCGCCAACGCACCGAGACGGGCCAAACGCTGCCCCCAGGCGGCGTCCGACACGGCGGGCCCGAGGGCGGGGGGAGGGCGAGAGGCTGCTCACCGCGGGGAGCGAACGGCCGCCCATTGGAAATCCCCCGCGGCGCCCCCCGCCCGTCTGACCCTGGAATCGGGGGCCTCGGTCGGGCGCGGCAAGCATTGGCAAAGATAAGGCGTCTATAACAGCGCAGCCACTGGCCCCGGGCCCCCCCCTCGACGAGCCCTCGAGGAGTGAGCCGCCGAGCGCGGGCGCCGAAGTGAAAGTTCAGCTCCAGCGGGGCCGTCGCCGCGCGAACCACGCGAGGGGCGTCGGCCAGGAGCGCATCGGCGCGGGGCGCGGGGCGGAGGGCCGGAGAGCGGGGGGGGGGAAGAGGGCGCGGGGGCGGGGCCCCTTCCCTACCTTCCAAGATCGAGACGGGGGCGCGCGATGCGACGGGGGGAAGACGAGGGCGGGCGAGGGGGGGGGGGGGGGCGGATTGAGAACGAGGGGGGGGCGAGGGCAAGATTAAGAAGGCCGGCGGCGAGGGCGAGGACTGCTGCCCAGGTCGCCCCGGCAGCCATGGCTGGGACGTTAGCGCCCCCCTGGGCAAGTTCAAGTTCGTAAATTCAAAAAACGCCTAATTAAATTAACGCCGGGGCCGTGGATTCTGCAAGTTCGCGGAATTGCGCAACCGGGCGTCTGATTTTTGAACTTGCGCAGTTTGTTTGACAGAGAACTGACGACTTGTGCAGCTTTGATAATGGGGAACCGTCGGGTCGCGCACTCTTTCTCGTTTTGTCGGGCTGGGCTCGCATTTCCAACTTGTGCAACTTTGTTGACCAAGAATTGACGACCTGCGCAGCTCTTGAGATTGGGAACCGACGAATTGCACAACTTGTTCCGTTTTGTCGGGCCCGGCTCGGTTCTCGAAGTTGTGCAATTCTTTGACAGAGAATTGACGATTTGTGCAGCTTTCTTGATGAAGAATCGACGACTTGTGCAACCTTTGTTTCCGTTTTGTTGGGCCAGGATCGGTTTTCGAACTTGCGCAGCCTTCCTGAAAAAGAATGGACGACTTGTGCGATTTTTTGATGAGGAATCGACGACTTGTGCAACCTTTGCCCGTTTTGTCGGGCCAGGATCGGTTTTCGAACTTGTGCAGCTTTTCTGAAAGAAAATTGACGAACTGTGCAGCTTTTTATTTGGGCACCGACGCTCTGTGCAACCTTTTCCGTTTTGTCGGGCCGGGCTCGGATTTCGAAGTTGCGCAGCTTTTTTGATTGAGAATTGACGACTTGTGCAGCTTTTTTGATTGGGAACCGACGGGTTGCGCAACCTTTGTCCCGTTTTGTTGGGCCGGGCTCGATTTTCGAACTTGCGCAGCTTCTCTAACGGAGAATTGATGACTTGTGCAGCCTTTTTGATTGGGGGCCGACGGGCAGTGCAACCCTTCGACAACTTGTTGAAAACCGAGCCCGGCCCGACAAAACGAAAAATATTGCAAAAATCGTCGGTTTACAAACCACACAAGTCGCCAATTCTCTTTCAAAAAAATGGCAAAAATTCGAAAATCGAGCGCGGCCCGACAAAACGAAACAGATTGCGCAGCCCGTGGGTTTCCAAGCAAAAAAGCTGCAGACGTCATCAATTCTCTTTCAAAAAAATTGCACAAGTTCGGAAACCGAGCCCGGCCCGACTAAACTAGAAGGATTGCACAACCCGTCGTTCCCCAATCAAAAAAAGCTGCAGAAGTCGCCAATTCTCTTTCAACAAAAAAACTGCACAAGTTCGAAAATCGAGCCGGGCCCGACAAAACGAAGAAGGTTGCGCAGTTCGTCGGTTCCCCATCAAGAAAGCTGCACAAATCGCGAATTCCCCTTCCAAAAAATTGCACAACTTCGAGAACCGAGCCCGACCCAATCAAACGGAAAAGGTTGCACAACCTGTCGGTTCCCAATCAAACAAGCTGCACACGTCGTCAATAATCTTTCAGATCAGCTGCACAAATTCGAAAACCGAGACCGACCCGACAAAGCGGAGAAGGTTGTACAATCCGTCGGTTCCCCATCAAAAAAGTTGCACAGACCGTCAATTCTCCCCGAAGAAAAGTTGCACGACTTCGAAGACCGAGCCCGGGCCGACAACGCGAACAAAGTTGCACATCTCGCCGGATCCCAATCAAAAAACTGCACAAGTCGTCAATCTCTCTGTCGAAATACTTGCACAACTTCGAAAACCGAGCCCGGCCCAACAAACCAAAAACGAAAAAGGTTGTACAAGGTTCCCAATTCAGAAAGCTGCACAAGTCGTCAATTTTCTTCCAAAAAGCCCGGCGAAGCGGAAAAGGTTGCGCAGCTCGTCGGTACCCAATCAAAAAGGCTGCGCAGGTCGTCAATTCTTATCCAAAAAGTTGCACAAGTTCGAAAACCGAGCGCACCCCGAACCAAAAAAAACGCGTGTTTTCGAACACACCCGCCATTTTATCTGACTTCATATACGATCAACGGTTGATCCCATTGGCACGCATAAGTCCTTAGTTCTGCAGTCTGGATCGTAAGTCTACGTTCATAAGTTTAGAACTTATTGTTAACATCCCAGCTTGGCCCCAGCGGAGGCGCTCGCGTGGCGGATGCCGTCGTTGGCGGCGCCCTCCTTGTCGGCCTCGATGCCTCGCAGCTTCGACTGGGAATTGATCATCTCGCCTTTGACCGAGCTCCGCAGCTCTGAGAAGAGGCGGCGCCCAGCGACGGTGACCGCGGCATTCTTGGCGCCCTGGACCGGTTCTCGGTCGCCTCCTTCGTCTCAGCCCTGGGCCTCTCGGCCTCTGCGGGCGCCGCCTGCTTCTGTTTTTCTGCATCCCTTCGGTTATTATGGTTATTATCATTATTATTATATTTCTTTTTGCTGCGCGAGCTGCCGCTGCTCCGCGAGCGCGAGCTGGCGTTCGCGCCCGAGTCGCCCCTCTCATCTGCCTCGGGCGGGCCCGCGGCGACGCCCTCGACGCCGCCCCTCGGCAACTGCAGGGCGCAGCGTTTTTTTTTTTTGGGGGGGGGCGGGCGACCCAGCGCCGAGAGCGAGCGAGGGTCGGCAGCAGGGCCCGGCATCGGGAGGTAACTGAACGTCACTCAAATTGCCGCGCGCGCGCAAAGTCTCTGCCAGGCATGCGCGCCCACGCGCGCCATGAATCCCGCGCGCAGTCCGCTCGTGCACGCAGGCGGCAGCGCGCGCTGCCCGACGTGGAAAGCTGGCTGGGACGGACTGGTGACGCGGGCACGGCTGGCTGGCAAGACTGGGGCTCAGGGATCAGCGGGCTGGCGACGCGGGCGCGGCGCCCGCCTGATGGGGGCCCTCACCTCCCAACGGAGATGCCAGGGCTAAAACGCTGGGGGTGGCTGCGCTCGGGCTCGAGCTCGAGCCCGCTGGTGAAGCTCCATTCTGAACGTCTGCTGCCAAGTTGTTCTCGAGCTCGCTGAACGCCGTGAACCTCACCTCGGCTGGAGGCGGAACAGGCGCCACTTCTTGCCTAATCCCGCCACTTCTTTCCTAATCCCGAAGGCATTCGCCATCCGACCTGGAACGCCAGGGTGGACCACATGATCGTAGTAGCCGATGCCAGGAAAACAGAAGATGGCGCCACGGGTCGCCAACTGCACCAGGAACGTGGCGCTGAAAGCCTGGAGCGCGCCGACGCCCGCCGACTGGGGAAACAAGACGGCTCTGGCAACGGCGTCGGTCACCTGTGCCCTTGCCCCTGCCATTTCGTCTTCTTCGTGACCTGCGGCGGCGTCGCGCCGACAAACCGGGGGAATCGCGCCGCCGAGGGACTCGCGCCGCAGAGCGGTAACGCCGCTTGAGCAGATAGATGGCTATGGACATCTGGTATTTGAAACCCAAGACGGTGCAAAAGGCCCCGAAGAGGAGCCCCAAGACGGGCCAAGACGGCTCCAAGACGGCCCAAGAGACCATCAGGACGGACCAATTGTTCCACTATCAGCCAGGGCCCGTCTAGTAATAGAGGAGGGGCCCAAAGACGGACCAAGAGAGCTCCAGGACGGCCCAAGAGACCATCAAGACGGGCCAAATGTTTTACTACCAGCCAGGAACCGTCTGATAGTAAAAGGAAGCTCCGCTACTTGAGCCCCAAGACGGTCCAAGAGGCCGCGAAGAGGGGCCCGAAGACGGGTCAAGAGGGCGACAACATGGCCCAAGAGACCGTCAAGACGGCTCCCGAACTTATGGAAGTCATGGTCATCGCGCATGAAAGGTTAATAAAAAACAAACGAAAACTTGTGATACAACGAAGGTACGTTGAGCTCCCGAAGTCAATTTGCATGTCGCAATAAACTTGTTACACTATCTGTGACTCAAGTCTTTTGGATGCCATGGCAATGGCCACTCTAACAACCCTATCATTGAGTTCAAGATGTGCTTAACATGGCGTTAACATGTGTTATACATGTTCAAGACATGTTTTTGGAGGCCTGGAAATTGGCACCAACACCAGCACAGGGGTTTGCCTCCACAGGGTGAAGATGATCCTAGATTTCGGTGTTGGTGGTAATAGTTCGGTCACCTTGGAAGCCAGAATATTACCACCATCACCGAGATCGGGATCCTCTTCCGTCGGTGGAGGCACACCGCCGATATTGGTGTTGGTGTCAACCTCTATAGGCCTGCGACATTGACCGGCTTCCACAACTCCAAGCCCGATGATGTGCACCAGCACGAGGCGCAAAGAGGCGGACACGGGACGAGGTCGCCAGGACCGCCAGGAGCAGGGCGAGCTGAGACAGCGGCAGCTCAACATCGTTCCCTGGATTCTGCTGCTCCCATCGCACTTACGGACCACATCCCAGAAATAATTCGGGTCGGGCGAAAGGGGGGGATAGCAAAGGGGGGGGTTGAGAATCAGCTCACGTAGCTGATTTTCCGGCGCCTCCCGGCGCCGGAGGCGGCTATGTATCGAGGAATGGGCCCCTCGGTGAAGCCGAAACCAGCTGCATGCAGCAAATTTCGTAACCCCCCCTTTCCCAGTCCCCCCCTTTCGCCCGGCCCGAATAATTTCGAGCACCCGGACAAGTGTCGAAAGAGTGTCGAAAGAGTTTCGAAAGAGTGTCGAAAGAGTGTCGAAACAGTGTCGGGCGAGTGTCGGCCGGGGCCCGACACGTGAAAACCCTCGAGTTTCGGTATGTTTTTTGGTGCTCGAAATTCTTTCTGCTGATCAAAGCTAAAATAGGTTGGAATATCATAAGCCCCGGCACCGTCCCGGGGTCCAAAGGTGGCGTCCGGCCGCGGCGACGCGGGGCCCTCCCGAAGGCCGATTGCCGTCGTCTCCACTCGCCCTCCTCGAGCAGCCGCATCGGCCCCTGCTCCCCCCCCCATAGAGCGACGAGATCTGTACACGCCGGTCGGAAGAAGTAAGTAAAAATATGAAGTGGGAAGGCGGATAAAGTGGATTGGGTCCAGGCCCTCCCAGAGAATAAGAAAACACAGCAAAAGCGTGTCGATTATTGAAGTTGGAAGGCGCTTGAAATAGGTTGAGATTTGGGATCCCAGAAATACCAACTTTCAGCGACCGGCATGTACATGTGCACCGCTCCTGGGACAAGGATGGGCCTGGCCGGGGGCAGTGGACACGTACAGGGAGCCCACAGAGGACGCACGCGCCCGACTATGTACATGAACTCGGCCCCTCGATCCGCGAGACCCGCCGCGTGATGCGACCATTCGCGCAAGGCGTACTCTCGAAACCGGCGTGGATTCTCGTGTACTTGCACGTCCGTCCTTCTTCCGCCGGCGAAAGGAGGGGGTGTCCAAGAGGGGGGGGTGCAAATCATGACCGGCGGCATGTGCACGGCCCAGCGGGGGGGCCTGGGACGTAATGAAAGGAGAAGAGGCGCCATGAAATCTGCGGAGATCTCATGGCCCGCGCCATGATATCCACCACCCCCTAGTCATCACCCCCCTCCTTTCCGCCCCAGATTTTGCGCCGGCGAGAATATTCATGGCTCTCGCCGCCCGACCCCTGCTGACCTGGGGCGGCACGCCCGCGGCCGCGCCCGCCGCCTCCTCCGCGGGGGCCTCCGCGCGGCAGCCCGCGCGGTGCCCCGCCGCGGCGAGCCGGGCCTCCAGCGCCTCGCCGGGCGGCGGCGCCTCCGCGCCGGCGGCGCCTCCGCGGCGGCGGCTCCGCCGGCGCAGGAGCAGCGCGAAGCACGCGGCCCCGAGCGCCAGGGCGGCGAGGGCCAGGGCGGCGGCGAGGGCCGCGAGGCCGGAGCTGCCAGAGGCACCGGGCGTGTCCCCCTGCAGGGGCATTTTCGATGGAAAAAAAGAAACAATACTCACAAAATATTCCGAAACGATCCAAAAATACTACAACATAAAGTCCCCCTACTATCTTCTACTGTTTTTGAATACTCCCCCTGTAGAGGGACAGGCCCGACGTAAGGCTCGTCCGCCGCGGACCCGCTGGCCGGGTCCGCCGCCGAGGACTCGTTGGGCTGCCCCAGGGGCGGGGGCTCCGGCTCTGCGTCGGCGTCGCTCCCGCCCGACGGGTCGCAGCTTACCGTGCGGCTGCTGGTCGAGGCCGTGCCGACGAGGGAGACAGCCGACGGCACGGTGTACTCGAGCGACTCTCCGCCTGCCGCTGCGAAGTCGTTGGAGTAACCGGAGGTGCGAAACATCGCCTCGTGGGTGAAACACATATCCGCATCCGCGGCCTCGCTGGCTTGGCCCCTGGGCCGCGACCCCGCGGATACGGGGCGCGTTTTCGCGGATCTTCCACGCAAAACGTAACCGTACCACCGCGTATCCGCGGGATCCGCGCCCCAGACTCCAGACCGCGAGGGCGCGGATACAAATATGTTCGCCTCTCTTGATCGCCTCCAGCGCAGGTCCTGTCACTGCATCGCCAGAAGCAGACGTCGCCGTGAATCGGACCTTGTTGGTGCATCGTCCGCTCACTTTCTCAAACGTCAGAAGCCCTTCTGACCGGACGCACTGGCCCGGCGGTATCTCGACAGCATGCTCCAGAGAACCGTTTATTGTGACATTCTTTCGGAGGTTGCTCAAGATGCCCATGGCCAAAGGTGCCACCAGCTTCTCGCTCATCTTTGGAGCCCCTGGAGCTCCCTGGGCCTCGTGAGGGGTGCTCTGGAGGCAGTGGGGGCCTCCTTGGAAATCCTGGGGGCACCTTGGGCCAGGACACTTCTAGCAACGCCTGATTCTTGCTCGACTCGGAACCCGACGACTCACCCAACTCTTCGCCGGTCTCAACGATTAACGACTGAGACCACGTGTTTTGCGATTCAGTACTGGCTGGCAACGAAGAATTTACTACCGCTAAGATACACACTGGCACGGCCCCGCCACATAGCCCCGTTTCTGCCGAAGCCTCAGCGGTTACCGCATACTCGACACCGACGGAAAATCCGTGAGACACTTCCTTGGCCTGGCTCCCCATCTCTGTCGTGGTCAGTGACTGATCCAGTGTCTGGCTGATTGTGGCTGATTGCTCGATACTGAGAGGAATGCTGATAGTCACAATCGAGGGCGAGTCGTTCGTATGGTTGTCACTGGTTCTTACCACTGAAATCAAATCCACATCAGTAGCAACACAGTCGTAAACATCTGTTACTGTATTTGATATTGACAAAGGCAATGGTGGTGACCCGCCACCGTGCCGAGAGGCACGAGTTGGCATGTGCGCATGTCCCTGGGAGTCCTCGATCCTGTGTCCTGAGGTTCTTTTTAAGGAGCCCGCATCTCAACTTCCCAACTGTGTCGAGGGGCTTGCCGCGTCTTGTCGCGTCTTGAAAGACTGTTTCGTGCCAAAGGGGTGTCAAAAACGGCACAAGAGGGCCCGAAAAGGTCTCCAAAACGGTCCACGAGAGCCTCGAGTCGCCGAAGCATGCTTCCAAGACGCCCGAGACTGTCTCCAGACGGCCCAAGCGGACCCAAAGACCCAAAGACGCTCCAAGAGAGCTCCAGGAGCACGTCCACAAGGGGCCCCGAAGCAAACACTGTTGATTTGCCTGCCGTGTTTGAAGGATGTTCGCGTCCTCGCCTGCTCGGCCTTCCGACGCTGGCCCAAGATGCCCCCAAGATCGCCCGCAGACGGCTCCAGAGGCCCAACGAGAAGTTCAAGACGGCCCAAGAGGGCACCAAAAATGCTCCAAGCAAGAGGGGCCCACAAAGGGCAGCACGAACTGCCACTTCGAGTCCCCCACCCCAAGAGGGCCCCCGAGACCGCCAGCAGGCGCAAGGAAGCTCCAAAAAGGCCACGTGAGGGCCCCTCACAAGTCTCAAAACTGCCTTCAAGAGGGCCCCAAGAGGTACCCAAGAGACCCCAAGAAGCATCCAAGACGGCCAAAGAGGGCAACAGAAACGCCCCAAGAGGTGCCCACACAAGGCAACACGAACTGCCACTTCGAGCCACCCACCCCCCAAAGGACACCCGAGACCGCCAGCAGGCGCCCTGGAGGCCCCCCAGAGGCGGCCCCCCAGAGGCCCAGGGAAGCCCCCAAGAGGCAGTCCCCGAAAGGTCTCGGGACAGCCTCTAGAGGAAAGAGAACTATGCACATACACCGATTCTGGCCAGGCCCAACCCTGAGCCCAGGATCGGCGCATACGCCCTCTTACCTTGGCCAGGAAGGTATATGCACCGATCCTGGGTCAAGGATGGGCGTTGTCAGGATCGGTGCATGTGCATAGTTCTCTTCGCCCGAAGCCTCCAGGGAGGGCTCCGCGCAAGGTGTCACGGGAGACTCGCGAGGCACCCAGCAGGACCCAGACCCCAACCCCGAGCACGCCGGCAGGAGGTCCGCAGCCCCCCGCAGCCTGCCGCAGTGGCGCACGGCGGGCCCAGTGGTCTCCGCCGATCGCACGGGCCACCTGTTTGGACGCCCGAAATGGGTACGGAAAGAATGGGTACAATGCCCAACAACAAATGTCGTCCCAAACCAACAGCGGCCGCTGTTGGGCAGGCGGCCTCCTGTCTCGAATGGACACAGGCCGCGGCGGCGCGGACAGCGAATCCTGTTCAAAATGAACAGGAACTGCTGTTGGGCATTGTACCCATTCTTTCGGTACCCATTTCGGGCGTCCAGAACCAGGGAGGGCACACAGGGCGGGGAGAAACCGGAAAGCTCGCATCGGAGACGCCAAAGAGGACCCAAGGTGGCCTCCAAGATGGCCCCCAAGATGCCTCCAGGATGGCCTAGATGGCCCAAGATTGCCTCCAAGACAGTCGTCCGAAGACGCCTCCGAGACGACCAAGATGGCCCCAAGACGGCTCAAGATGTCCTCCAGACGGGCCAAGGGGACCCCCAAACGGCCCCATGGGCCCCAAGATCGCCCGAAGACGGCCCAAGCGGAATCCAAGAGGCCCAAGAGGCCCTCCTCGTTTCTCTTCCTTCCTCTCCCGAGTGTGCCCCAATGGGGTTCCACAACGGCTGGGGGAACACATCGTGCAATGGCTTGGCCAGACGTCGGCCCAAAGTTTGGCCGCATTGGCGTCTCCGAATGCAGGGGGCGGCGGTGATTAGCCGTAGATGTCTTCGATACTACGTTGAATGCCCGGCCCAGTGCGTAAAGGTCGCTAATGGAGAGGTCTTCGCATACCCCGGAATACAGAGCGTTATTACTTTGCCGGAAAGAGCCGTCCAAATTAAACATCATCCACAAAGCGACTGGGCTGGAGTAGATGTCATACCGGATGGCATCATCGTCGCCTTGGCTATGAAGCACATAAAACCATTCCGTACCAGAACTCCCGCACTTTAGCATATCTGGGAAGCTCGGGACCATCGTGTCACTGCCGTTGTAAGATCTTGAGGTTACTATATTAAACGCCCAACCTAAATCCGCCACCATAACGTAGGCAGTGAATGGAGCGACCTCAGGTTATTTCAAGAATTTGTGTCAAGCATTGTAAAGATCGAAGGGTCCCGGAGCGCGAATTTTCACGCGCTCTTGAGCGCTTCTTGGCGAGTCCTGGGCTTGTCGCTTGGCTTTTCCTCGAGGCCTCGGGAGCGTGCTGTGACTTTCAATATGGCCTGAGATGGTCCCAGAGCCTCTCCTGAAGCCCTTGGGCACCTCTTGGGCCGACTTGGAGGCCCATGGCTGGTCCAAGAGGCCACAAGTCATTGAAACACCTCGCAGTCCTGCATGATCTTAGAAGAATCGGATCTTCGGTCTTAACAGCGTCCAGGACGGCCCACAAAGGTAGCGCCAAGACGGCCCCCAAGAGGGCCCGAGAGGCCTCCAAGACGGCCCCACGAGACGGCCCCACGAGGCCCCAAATGGTGTTCCCGCTGCAGAATTGACTTCATTGCCACGTCGACTCTTCAAAATGGTGCTCCCGCTGCATCATTGTCATTTCCGCGGATTCTGTCGCTGGCGTCATTTCCACGCATTCAATCCTTCAAAATGATGTCCCGCTACAGCGTTAGCCTCATCTCCAAATGGCTGTCCTTCGAAAGAGCGCTCTGTCTACTGACTACCTACCAGACCACCCCAACCCAACCCGAAGAACCGAATTTCGGGTTGGGGGGGGTAAGGGTTCCACATGTGTTGTTTCGATGCTTCCCGACCCCCCAACCACTGGAAATCGAGGGTAAATCTGAGCCTTCGGGTTGGGTTGGGGTGGTTTGGTGGGTGGTGATCTACAGCGTGGGCTCCATGTCTGAAGTGCCGGTCATTGACAGTGGTGCTCCGGCTCCAACAGTGGCCAAATTTCTGACACAAGCCCAAAGGGGGTCCCAGGAGGGCTCCACATGGCCACAAGCTGCCACAAGAGGCGCCCATAGACGCCCCAGGAAGGCTCCGAAGTCCTCCAGGAGGGTCTCGAGGGGCAAAAACAATGTATTGATCTCCTCAAGGTGTGTCAATGATGTTCATATCTCTCCTGTTCGGTCTTAAGAACGTCCAGAGCAACCCAAGAGGCCCTCACAATCACCCCAAGACGGCAAAGACTGTCCCCAAGAGAGCCCCAAGACAGCCCAGATAGGCCCTGAATGCTACCTCCAAAAGCGCCGACGGCCCAAGAGCGCCCTAAGATGACCCAAGAGAGCCCCAAGATGACCCACGAGGCCCCGGAGGCCGCCAAAAAGACCGCAAACGCCCGAAAGGAGTCCCAATATAGCCCGAAGATGGCCCGTCTCGTGTTCCCCCAACGATTTCCCAAACAGCTGGGGGGCACGCAATCAACCAGCGTAGCCGCACTTTCTCTCGACATTCCACGACCACTCCAGACGGCACGGTGCGGGGATGGATCGCCGCAGGCGCCCTCGATTATACAACTGCTCTACGGTTTTGCCGTTGCAGGATGTGGACAGAACGTTGTTGTCGCCCTTATACGAGCCGTCCACGTTGAACTCAACGTAAGAAGCCTCCGCGGCGCCGAGGCTGTCGTACTGGATCACGCCATACTGGATACCGGTGTCGCTCTGGCTGTACAGCGCATAGAAGAACGTTGACTCGGAAGTCCCGCACATGACGACATCGGGAAAATTCGGAACCATCGTATCGTTGACCGCAGGAGTCGTGGAAGTCACAATCTCGAACGCCCTGTCTGCTGCGTAGAGCTCGCTTGCCGAATTGCCTTGGCAAAATGTGGACTGATCAGAGTTGGCTTCCAGATACGAGCCATCCGAATGATTGAACTGGATGTTCCAGTCCTGCGGCCCGTAGTTCCCGCGGTACTGGATCCCACTACCGCCCTGGCTGTGAAGCATATAAAAGAATTGGCTGTCCTCAGGGTTGTAATACCCACACTTTAGCACATCCGGCATATGCAACTCCGAGAGTATCGACGACGAGGCAGCATGCAAAAAAAACTGAAACCCGAAAGTCGCCCAAATAATCCGACGGCTCCTCTTCGGTTGCCAGACGTGTGAAACTGCCCCGCCCAGTGGTCCAGCCCCCACCAGCTCCGACGCAGTCGGGCAGCCTGCTTCTCCCCAGGGGAGGAGGAGAACCAATGCAAACCCAAGACGCATCGACGATGTTGCAATGAACTCTGCCTCCCTGCTATAAATTTCCTTTACGAGCAACGCCACATTGGACGACTACCGTCTGAGAGTCCGTAACCGTGCCAAAACGCAATTCCTGAAATTATCGTAGCCAATCAA